ACAGGTCGCACAAGCTACCGAAGGAGAAGGTGGATCGAGTCAACTTGCTGAACTCAAAGCCATTCAATTGGCCCTCTTCGCCTGCTGGGGAAATGTTTTTTGCCTATTTTAGGCCTAAACATGTTTTGTGTTTTTCTGTTGTCTGGCTGGGTGCAGAGGATTTGGCTTAATATCAAATGCAGAAGCAGCAGTGTCCTGAACCACCTTGTATGCTGGGGATCAGAGTCCTTTCATTCTCTTTTCAGCTTTCAGAACAGCAGCATTTAAAAGATCACATAAAATTTTACGCCAGTTAAAACTAAAGTTTCTAGAGATTACTCTAAGACTAGATATTTAATTATTTTGCACTGTTACATAAACATTCCAGACAATGTTTTCCCACTGCTGTTTTACTCTGCACTACTTAGCTTTTCTCTAATAAAATGGCACATGTTCACTTTGAAAATTTTTTTTTTGTGGAAATATCAAAATTGGCTTTTAGATTTTCCCACTGGCTCCCTTCCTTCCTCTTAAAGGAATAATTCATTCTACTCTTTCTGCCAAAATGCAGTGATTGGTAGCAGTGCTGAGTTTTTTTTAGTGCACCTTTTTTGTTACAGCTATAGCTATGGAACCAGATTTATAAAGCTATTAGCATAGTGTCACATTCATATTTTTAAATAGGAAAATAAACAAGCTAAGACTGCAGTTTTATAGCTTACCAAATTAAATAGTCAAACTTCTAGAGTTTCTCATCTTAACTCATCCTAAAACTGCCTACACTCACCACTAACGTAAGTTTTTGTTATCTGTCACCTTCTTTATTGCTATGAAAACAGTGTCTTTGGAGCCTGCTGGCAGAGATTGCTTAGAAAATTATCGTTGTGTTGCTGGTATTTCTTCACATCTGGGTTCACATTTCAAGCATCCCATCCTATTTTCTGGAACAAGCAGACCACACTATTTTCCAAAATTAACCCAAACAAGATGGCCAACCAAGGGAGCAATCGGTTCAAGTTCAGTGTAACTGCAAAAGAAAACAGAAGAAATTTAGCAGTTACCATTTATGAAGATTAGAGAAGCCATGTGAGAAGCCACATTAACTTGAATGTGTAAGAAATCACACAAATCTGTTGAAAGTCTGCACTCCAAAGCCATGCATAAAATTAACATGAATCGTTTTCCAGACAAAGAATTCTATTTTATGTTTCAGTGATTCATGATGAGTTGTCTCCAATTCTAGCTGATGAATCCAATGGATATAATACAGCACATACAAAGTGATGACGGTGAGATAAGAGGTGCTTTTTTTTCCTCCAGTTTCAAGCTAGAGCTATTTCAGTCACATATCAGATACGGATTTAAAAATATATCAATAACAACTTCTATAACAGCCGCATTCTCTCTCACACATTCAATGCAAAAAATGTAGTAATAAAGAAGCGAAGAAGTACCTCTAATTGCTTGAGAGTTTGATATCAAGACAAACGCTTTTATAAATGCAAGGCACAACGGTGTGTAGTCATGTTCCCAAATAACAGCTGGAATTAGCAAAAGCTTTCCATAGCTGGACAACAGCAGTGCTTTCAGAAGTAAAACGAAGTCAGATTTTGTCTTCAGCATCTCAGGTCTCATCCACCGTAAGGTAATAAAAATGCCAACCAAAAATGAAGTTTGTTCTAAGAGGAAATAAGAGGAGTTGGAAAGAGAGAACAAAATGCCAAAATCAAGTCCTTTTCTGGATGAATTTCAGTGAAAAAATATCTCCCAAATGCAACCGAGACACTGTTTTTAAAAAGATATAGGCAAATATGAACACGTCCTCCATCTCCTGTGTTCATTGTAATAGGCTATTATTATTATTATTATTTAGGTAAACTAATTGAGTATCATGACATTCAGAGTATTTTATCACAGAATTCTATCTGTAGGACTGCCATATTTGTAATTTCTGACACCATATAGGACAGGAAGTTTAGCGCAAGAACATCTTGTAATTTCTGACACGATATAGGACAGGAAGTTTAGCGCAAGAACATCTTTACTTCTTAGCAAAAGGAGTTATTTTTTTCAACTGTCTGTTAGCCTGTAAAAAAAAAAAGTTCAATACTTGTCTTCTTTGAAAACGTCACCAACAATGAACCCAGCAAAGGTCACTCAGCAATGAGAAAGTATCATTGAGCTATTAGACTTTTTTTTTTTATCATGTCCCTGTGTAACACTGCAATTAATGCAGATGTCAAAGCAACTTTCACGACAACTGTAGTAGATGAATTACTACTGAAAAATGAGTTCCAAAATTTTTACTGACATGTAATGAAAATCTAATTAGAGCAATGTTAGACAACAAATGACTTAAGTAAACTCTGAATATCTAAGGGAAATACTAGTTTTAGCCTGTGGGTTTGACTTAAACACTATCACCAGAAAAAATATGAAAATAGAAGTATTAACCAAAATAACCCAAAACCCTTCTCATGCCTTATTAAACACAAGACTACATTTAGTCTTTGATCACACAAGTATTTACTCTTTACCAGTGATGACACTGCTTTGTATTGTTGTGCATTCATTTAAAAAAAACCCACAAAAACAAACTAGATACATCTTTACCCAATTATTGTTTACTTCTCTAAGGATCATCCTTAATGTTGTATCACCTTAATGAATAATGAACAGTGAAGTCAACAAGAAATATGGAATAATGCTAAGCTCTGCATTGGTCTTCAAATGATGAAAATGGATTCAGATGAAGATTTCTGAATAATGCCACCTTTCGGTGTTTTGATACTAGATGCTGATTATAGCAGTCTGAACTGTAATCAGGATCAAACTATGCATCTGCATTAAATGAAGAAAAATTAGAAAGTACATGTATAATCGCTTAACCATATTGAGTTGAACGTGACATCCACTCTGTATTAATTTTTGCAACATGGGCTTGTTGAAAGACTCACGAAGTTATTCAGTGCGTAAATGAGTAGATAGTGACATGAACTAATCATTGTTCTTACCTAAAGAAGCTATACCAAACATTCTATAAAAATCCCATTCCTTGGCATATCTGATTAAGTCATCAGGATCTATATTTTGGCTTGAATCCTGCAGCTGCAACCACCTGAGATAAGCTTCACAGAGCAAACAAAATATGCAGAGCTTCCCATGAATCTGGTAAATGAAAGAAGAATAAAAGCATTAATATTAAATTACCATAAATTAAAGCATTAGTTTGAAATTGGTATTTAAAATACATTTCAACACCTCTACACAAGCAAACTCTGTAGGTTTATTATTTTTGTTTAGAAATGTAAGCAAATTACTTCTGCTGAGCCACTAGTCTAGCACATCATCCTTTTAACATCAATTAACATGACAAGCAAATTAGAGGGTGTAGAAAACTGCGTGAATGGTTCCACACAGAAGAAGGTATATAACTGTGGTTTCTAAAGCATTTTCTGTACTTTTTTTAGAACTGGGAAGGCTGTTTCAGTTAGGAATATAAACCAGCATGCACGTGGGGTGAATTCTGGTTTTATACAGGTTTAAATAAACGAATGTGATATTTGTGTGAGGATTCTACTTTTTCCATTGGAGACTAGTTATGTCAATCGCACATACACGTACAGGCTAAGCCAGTTTAAAATTCAACTCAATTTATTTGAATAGATGCAATTGCCACAGATGGAATAGTTCTTTCAGAAGCTTCACAGTAAATATCATTACCAGTCTCCAAAAGCAATGAATTAATTAAAATCTTTAGGCAGATTCATGCTTGAAATGCGAGATGAGCATATTGCTTAACACTGGACTGGCCAAGAGGTATCAACGTGAACATAGCATACACTGATGCTTGGATAGTTTGCTCTAGACTAGCTTCCCTCTACTGGCATCAGTCAAAGAAACCAATTAAAGTAAAAATTCTGTCAGAAAAGCTACATCTCTACACTCCAGCTTGGCCAGCACAACTAAGTGACTACATAACTTTTCATCAACAACGCTTCATGGGAAAGCCACTATGTTTTGCTATAGGTTTGCAGGCACTGTTAAATACTCATGAAGAAATTCATAAGAAATTAGTATAGTAAGTTTAATTGGCATAGTAGGTTATACTACTATAGTTCATTTAAAATAGAATTGTTTCGAATAGATATTTAATTTGGAAATTAGTTTGAAATTAGATCCTTCTCTTCCAATGCAGTTTAGCACATCACCCTTTTCATATCAATTAACATGAGAGGAAAACTAGAGGGTGCAGAAAACTGCATGAACAGATCACAGAATCATAGAATGGCCTAGGCTGGAAGGGACCTTAGAGATCATTTAATCCAACCTCCCTGTCATGGGCAGGGACGTCACCTCTCAACTAGATCAGGCAACACATGGGGAATCGAACCTGCGACCTTGGTGTTATCAGCACCAAGCTCAACCAGCTGAGCTAACCGGCCCCATATGGTTCTTTCTCTATAACAGGTAAGATCACTACTGTATTTGCTCATTTTATGGTATCGCTACTGCGGAGACAGTAAATTTCTCGGTAACCGCCGAAGTTTGAGGTTTCACAATTCATGATACAATTATTCTGATACAACTGGTTAAGCTCCCTGGAAGCTGTGGAAGGGCAAGAGAAAAACAGTCTCTAAAATTTTACCACTATGACAATCAAGTTAGCAAATCTAAATATATCTTTAACAAAAAAAAAGGGTAAGGGCATAGCAACTCACATTTATCTTTGTATTAAAAAGAATGTGCCTGTATGCTTGTGCTTTACATAAAATAGCATTAATCAAGATGATAACAGGATCATACTCAATGTATTTGTCCACAGGCTTCTGGCAGGATTTCTGAAAGTCAAAAAAATAAGCAGAATTAGGGAAAAAACAAGAAGATTTTATGAAATGTTTCTCTAATCTTAGCACAACTATATAAATCCAAACTGACTATTCAATTCGTACTAGTCTTTCCTTCATATAATCTTGATTTTCAATTGGTTTTTAATCCACCCAGAGAAATTGCTTCCCCTCCCTTGACACTACAGTTGATACACAGACTTGCCTTATAAAACATAAAAGATCCATTATCATTTTTTACAGGCCTCAGATTAACATAGATAATAAAATATGTAAGGATATACTTAGTTATCATTTTGTGCCCTACAGACACAAAAAATAAACCCACCCTCCCAAGAGTCAAGAAATGCACCAGTATCTTTTTAAAGGTTAACTGATTATGGTTCATCTACTGGGTATTTTGGGGAGGGTTTTTTTAATATTTTTGGAAAGAAAATGACTTTCTCCTATAAATTCCTTCTTTTCAGAGAGTTTTTTTATATTTTTGAAAAGAAAATTACTTTCTCCTATAAATTCCTTCTTTTCAGAGATGCTTTATCCTCCTATCCTACCTTTTTCTTCCTTTCAGGAAGATAGTAAAAATGGGGTTTTTTTGCTGTTGCATTGTTCTTCCATACTGGCAAATTCTTTGGATGTTTCAACTGATTTTCCATTATTGAACAAACACTAATACATTCAGAACACTGATAAGGTAGTTTTCACACACAGATATATCCAAAGATTTGGAAGTCGCTTCTAAACAGTGGTAAGACACTAGACCATTACTTCTCTGATATATCTGCTGGTTCCTGCTCTGCCTACTAGAGAGATTATTTCACCCAGACCACTGGGAATTGCTGTCATCAACCCACTTCAGATTTATTGACTTACCTGGGTGATCAGCTCCTTGACTTGAGTTAAATGAGAAGGGCCAATTAAACACAATTAGATACTAACTGTGAACAGGAGGGTTAAATTAAGTCTTACAAAAGGCTCATCCAGCAGACCTGAGAGGGAAGAAAGTAACTTGTAGCAGAGAGCTGAGGAGCAGCAGCAGTTGATCACAGCAACCACTTCAGCTCAAAGAAGCGCGCCTGCAGAAGGACGCGTGCCTGCGGGTTGGCTTTCTCCTGCTGCCCATTCTCCAGTTCAGCTCTTTTTTCCCTCCAACCTGTCCCTGGCTAAAGCCACTCCCTGGAGTACAACAATCACAGAAACAATCTCTATTTTCATTTTAATGAGGGCACAGCTGTGTGCTGCTTCGAGAGAAATCTATGCACACAGCTTAGTGTAACAGTAAAAAAATGCAGCGTTAGGCAACATAGACACAGGCAAGCTCACAGGAAATGTTTTTTTCTATTTTTCAGGTATTCCTTGTGTCTGAATTTAACTTTGCTTTGCTATTTACCAGAATTAGTATTGGAGAACTTGAAAATGCAAAATTTCACTAGCAAATTGACTCAAAAGTTCAACATCTGTACCAAGAAAACAAATGCATAGAACTTAAACCAAATGTCTAAGGAATGTTGCTACCAATAATCACTGTTTCTTGGTCCAGCTCAAGAAAAAACACAACAAATTCATTTGGATTAGAAAAGAAAATACTGTGTATGGCAGTACACAAGTTAGAGGTAATGAATTCAGAAATTGACTCAATTAACCAACAGTCTGATAGGTCTAAAAATCAAAGTGAATGAGATGGAAGAAGGGACATAATTAACAGAAGACCACAGCTACAGGATTTAATAGACTGAAAAAGAAATTGTGACTATAATTAAAGGCCACGTCTTGCTTCATTACTTTCTACAGGGAAATCACAAACAGATATTCTTAGAGGTGGTAATTTACATGTGTCAAGTCTCTGGGTTGCTGTAGCACAGGAAAGCTCCCATCTTTTTTAATAGGCTTATTCACACAAGCACTGGACAAGCACAAACAAAAGAAGATTATTCTTGAACACAATGAGTGTCATAAAGGTTATATGAAGGATTCCCCAGGATTTATTAAGCTCTCAAATTTTTGTACAATGGAACATTTTTTGACCAGGGTCAAAAACCTTTCAGAAAAGAGTAAAGAATGATCTTTTCAAGTGGAGGGTCCCAACTAAACACTGATCAAAAACCTTGCAATTCAGAGGTACACTGACAGCTGACATGAATTTTAGACAATTAAAATATATCAAATCAACCCTCCAGGGAAAATCAATGATACAGAAATTCTTCTGCAGTTAGACAAGGAAACTGCTACAAATGAATACACAAGCAGAGGTGTTACCCATAAGAATGGGTCTTTTGCTCCACAGTTTTTGGCAGCCACAACCAAATCTTCCGCAGCTGTGAGAATGACGTTTAATTCCGTATTTCAGCATACCACCACCAAACATTCAAGGATCCTATTTCTCTTGTGTCATTTCAACAGGAAAAGAAAATCCGACGTATCACAAAAGAGCAGCCACCTTCACGTGCAGGCACACACACACGCTTTCAATGGCTGCCTGTCTGCTAGACCTAGATGAGAGCCCTATTCTTAATATACTTTATTTCTTTTTGAGTCTCGACTGTATGAAGCAAAAATCCTCTGTGCTTAGGCAGCCAGGGACCCAGCCAGTATGAGCTCATTCAGAGACTTGAGAGACCTACAAGCCACCCGACTGCAGAAGGCTCACGTGTGCACTCCCATAGACTAACTGGACAAAATGAAGATGACACTTGCTATACCATGAGAACAGCACAGAATTAATGGAACCTCTAGGACGAAATGTTCTCTATACCTAGGTTTTTTGTTATTTTTTTTCCAGCTGTACTAATAAAACATTTGGTGCTAATTGTTAAATGCCCAGGAAGGAAACTTGTGACCAGAGCTTGACTTGAGCAAAATCAGTGCAAGCAAGGGTTAATTACAGTTTAAGTACACACAGGTTCAACTACCCAGCTTTATCTAGATAAACGTGATGTAACTTTACAGACATCGATAACGACTAACACTTTCAGAGAAGATCAGTATGAGCAACTTAGCTATGGAAAACTGCTTGCATGCTTACTTTTAAGATTTTAGCCAGGCAGTTTAGAGAGAATCCCAGGAGTGGTGCTCACAGCTCACCCCAAGCTGCGGTTCTGCACAGCTGTAGTCAACGGCCTGTCCAGCACGACTGGAGGAGGCACAGCTCTAACAAAAACCAAGTTTTTTCAATCTTTTTGGGCTTTCTCAAAGAAATGCCTCAGTTACCACATCCAGTTCTAAAACTGCAGAAAGAAAGAACTGGCTGTCTCTGTTTTTAACCAGCTCTTAATTTCTTCCTTAAATATGTAACCAACATCAGAAACAGAAAATAAGTGTTATCTTTCCTTGAAAAAAAAAGACATAATTTTGGCTAAAAGGTACTTTCAGATTATGTTGCAGAAGAGAAAGGTCCAGCTTGACACCATAAATTCTATCTATGCATCTTCTTCTAAACTGGTAAATTTAAGGAAAATTGCAAATGTTTTATACTGCCACGTAGAAGTCCAATAGATACTGCACTCCTCTAAAAAACGGTGTTAAATATATTTCAATACTTTAATGAATTTAAATGGATACTAGTTTAGGAATTGACTAATCAAATATTTAGGGATATTTGACTATGCTTATCTGTTGTTTCAAAAAACGAAAAAGTTTTAATTTTCATAACTTGGAAACTTGCTTAGTTATCTTAAAAAACACTGTTAAGGAAAGTACCATATATTTTAACATCTCAGTTCCATTAAATAAGACTGAAAAAGAACTGAAATGTTAAATTTTACTGTATGTTTATCAGCCTTTTACAAAACACTGCTCAGAAGACATATCTCTTCTTTGTCCATCAAAGATAAACTGTGAAAACAGTTCATAAATGTACACCACATACAATACAGTGAGGAAATACCTGTTGTCACTGAAGGGCAAAGTTCTTAAAGTATATGAACATGAATTTTTGAGAGTGCTCTCTCCAAAATTAAAACATAACTACATTTCAAAGTAAAAACATTTTGGGATGGGGGTAATGGAAACGAAAAATGTTCTTGAAGAGGAAGCCACAGGGCACAACATAAAATAAAAACATACACTGAATAACCAAATGAAGCCTCATCTTGAACTGTAAGTAGCATGAAAATTACATCAGGAATGTGTTAGCAAATCTCTGGATATTAGAAACACTGGTGAAACAGTCTCATTTTTGTTTTCCTTTCTCGAGGGATCAAAGTTTGGCAAAATTAAAATACAATTTTTCACTGGACTACATAGATAGCAAATTTTAACAACATTTACATAGCTTCAACATAAGTCCATTTACCAATGGTTCAAAGGAAAAACTAACACAGACACATCATCTTGCAGGAGTGTCCTTAGTCCCAGTTCCACCCTTAAACAATAACAATCAAATGTGATTAGCGTGATGCTTTCAGGAGTGGATTCTTTATTAGGGATGTGGCTAAGTGTCACAATAAGCTGAAAAACAAAAGAGCCCAGTTTCAGATGCATTCCATTCCAGAAACTGAAATTAAAAACATTGGTTTATAATTTTTCCTATGTGACACATTTTCCAGTAGTGAGTTGGTAGGCAGATTGAGTTATGTAAATAAAAGAAGAATACACGTTGTTTTCCAGAATCATCTTTGTACTGGACAGATTCCTTCTTTACCACATAAATGCTTTGCATTCAAAGCATTAATAGGCTCTCTGCCTTGCTGCAGTAAAAAAGCTTTTCAATTATTGTTTAATTGCAGAAATGCTAAATGAAGTGTGCACTGCTCAGGCAATTTGGCTTTCTTATTACAAAACACAATGGGGATCCTGACTGAGGATCTACATATTGCAATGAATAATTCCTTTTTCTTTGTTAGGGTCTGGAATGATTAACATTTTTTAAACTTTATTTTTAAATACAACAACATAAATGTAATTTAAAATCAAATTTTAAAAAATATTTTTCCTTCTATGTTTGAGTAAGTCAAGTTCGCTAATTTCCTTTTCTAATCATTGCACTTTGACTGCAGAATTTATTTCACATTCACCAGATGTGGTTTTTAACGCCCCTATAGCATTAATGTTACAGTGGCAATGTTATCTGAATGCTATTTTTTGTTACTGTTGCTAATGATTGGTTTGTAATATATTCTGTGAAGAACTGCTGTATTATTTACAAGTGATTTAAGTTATAAGGATCTCAAAATAATTAACAAAAATCTCCTCTGTAAAGAACCACCTAGGCTTACTTTCCCCATCACTTCTGCTTCAGAATAGGGAAAACATCAGCACATTCATACCTGAGGACTAGAATCAGACCCAGGGGTTGAAAAATGACCACCAGAAGTCACCTTCCTTGGAGGCAATCCTAATACGCCTGCACCCCCGCCCACCCGTCCATCCCGCCACCTCCTAGTTACCACACTGAAGAAAAAGGTCAGCCTGAGGAGCTGGGTTTCTTCAGAACTTTACTACCCACTTCCAAGTACCTTTAAGTTCTTTTTAAGAAGCAATAGTCCACCTGTCCCTTGCAATTTCACTTCCACTGCAAAATATATGCAGGATAAGAAAAAGGCTCATTCACCAAATGCGAATCTTGAACAAGAAGGTACACACAATACCGGAGGTCCAGGCTAGGCTTCCGCTGAAACTGGCCTTGATTAAACAAAATAGATTCAAAAGTTACAGAACT